CCACAATAGGTCGTTCTTTTTTTTCCCCCCCGTTGAAAAGAGGCTGTGGACTGAAAAAAATACAGAAAAAAAAAAAAAAAGAAGAAAAAGCCCCGGGCTGAAAGGCCTGGGAAGGCCTGAGTGACAGGGGGGCCGGGGGAGGGCAGGGGAAGGACTATGTGTATCCAAGCAGCAGAGACTGCAGCCTGACGTGTGGTTTTAATGACCAGCACGCAGGTCAAAAGCATTTTGCACAGTGTTTGTTTTCCTGTCTTGCACTTACAAATAAGGTCTATGGGAGTAGCATGGAGCCCCGGGCTGAAAGGCCTGGGAAGGCCTGAGTGACAGGGGGGCCGGGGGAGGGCAGGGGAAGGACTATGTGTATCCAAGCAGCAGAGACTGCAGCCTGACGTGTGGTTTTAATGACCAGCACGCAGGTCAAAAGCATTTTGCACAGTGTTTGTTTTCCTGTCTTGCACTTACAAATAAGGTCTATGGGAGTAGCATGGAAAACGTTTGCTGTTTTTTCCTTTTTTTTTTTTTCCCCTTTTTTTTTTTTCCTCTGCTTTTGTTTAAAATTTGATCGCCTTAACTACTGTAAACATAGCCTATTTTTGTGCTTAAGATACTGAATGGAAAACTCCATTGTGTATTGCTGGACTGTTTTGGAAATATTTGGTCAAATGTGTGTTAATTTGGCTGTAATGGCATTTAAAACAAAAAAAAAAAAGCTGTGAAAATGGCCTTGGAGCGTTATCTTTAGTTACTTGAATAGTTTCTAGGTTTTAAAACTACATTCTTTTCTTGAGTTAGAGAAGACAATCAGTGTCTGAGGAAAATGGACTTTCTCTTGGATTTTTTTGTGGTCCTCGTGAGTGATTGCTTTTTTCCTTTCCTTAGTTTCACATTCTTCTTTTGTTCTAAAACTTAGACTGACATCTAGCTTTGACAATCATAGTATGTTTTATTTTCCTGAGGGGGGAATAACTTATAATGCTGTTTAGTTTTGTACTATTGGTGTGTTGGTGAATTTTTAAACTGTGTGCTAACTGCAATAAATTATATGAACTGAGAAATCAATTCCCTTGTCTTTTTTCCCTCTTTTAAATTATAGTTACGGAGTATTTTTTATAATGTGTAACTTTATTACTTTTGTACAGACTTCTATTGCTAACTGTGTATGGAATATGTTTTCAGTATGCTTTTGAGCACTTTGTTGCTAACGTACATATTTACATCTCACTTAACATTTAAAAAAAATTAAATGCTTGTGTTTTGAAAGCATTTCTGTGTGTGTAGCTCTCGATCATTCTGTAGAGGGATTTTTATTATTACTATTTCTTTCTTCCCCAAAGACTTGCAGAAGCAATCTATTAAATTCCAGAAATTTTGCTACCATGCAAATACCTATGCAGACACACAGTTCCTTTTCTGGGCTTAATTTCACCCCGAGGAGCTCTTTCGGGCTCACTCTTTCGTATTCCGTCTCTATCGGGACATTAGAGCAGAAGGCAACAACTTCATCTGAAGCGCTGGCCGGGTACTGACTGGCCGTCAACGTTGCAGCAGGCAGTCAAAATGTCCAAAATACCAGTAATACATCAAAACTGTCTGGACTACAGAGGAAAATTAAAATAATCCTAAATCCGTTTGGGGATTTCTCTTACGGACTAAACGTTTCTTTAAAAAAAAATAAAATGCAGCTTAGCGAAACCTTTGAAAAAGACCTGGTTTAGGAGCTTGTTGCAGCGTATACCCAGAATTCTTGTTTGAGGCCGCTCCATCCTAGGAACGAGACCAGCACTGCAGAGCCCAATGGGAATATGAAAGTAGAGCTAAATTAGAAGTCTGGAACAGAGACAGCAGGACCAACTCAAAGGGGGGAAAAAATAATTTAAGCATTTCATTACATTTGTCATCTACCTAGGTACAACTGAAGTTGTGCCTTGACCAAGTGACTCTCGGTGCCTAACGCTATTCTGCTCCTCTTCCTACATCTGCGGTAGTTTGCCCTTAGCCAAAATGATCTTTTCCACTGTTTTATTCTTTGTAACAATTTTCAATCATCATTTGCTGCGTTTGGGGTTGGGGTTTTTTTGCGTTATTACAGATATTTCGAAAACGTTTCCTTTTGTCGATGTTAGCGTCTTCAGCCGCATAGATTTCTCTTTTTCTAGCAGCAGACCTTTTCTGTAGGCTTTCGTATGAGAGAATATTATCTGTAGTTAAGACGGTTTAAAGTATCGTCGAGACTGAAAAACGGCTAATATTGCAGTTCTGAAATCCGTGCAGCTGATGAGCGTTGGATGTGGCTCCAGGCAGATTCACCATTTGTTCTCCAACATTAAGATTTTCAAGGATTCCCAAATGAAGCTAGACTTAGAAGGAGCCCTTCTTCAGAAGGGTAACAGAAAACATAACTCAGCCATTAATGACAAAATAATTCAAAATATCCTTTATGCTTTTGGGTTTTATCTAGATGGTCTATACATGTGCAGCACACACTTGCTCGTGGCTATCAAAGTGTTTCTTCAATGAAAAGATGAAACGTACTCGGGTGCGTTGCTTCTCTCCATAAGGTTTATGTACTGACATATCTAAATAGCTGTAACTTTTTTTCGGGTTTTTTTCTTTTCTTTTTTTTTTTTAGTACAGTCCCGAGGTAATGAAGCATGAGAGAACAATTTATTTGGCTTGAGGATATGTGGTAACAAAATCCTCACCATTCACGTTGCCATGATGGTCGAAGGCAAATTGCGGGAATGGAAACTGTATGCTCTAGACTTCACAGTTTCAGAAGACCTTCTCTGACCGGTGATAGTCATCACTTTTTAACTGTGAGTACTTCCAGCCCGAGACTCACAGGGAACATGCTAAATGTACCATTTGGCTATTTTTTTAACCACTGCCTGAGACAGATTAATATTCTTTAATTACGAATGATTTCTCTAAACTCAAGCTTAGGGGTTTGGTGTAACAGAGTCTTTTGGATCAGGTATAGCATTCTACAGACGGTCTACTCACTGAGACCTCTGCGTGTTTTAGGTGCAATTTGAAGAAGAACTGGGTAGGAGTTTAAAAGGAAACTTTCTGGCCAAAGAAGGGAAGGGATCCTCATTGCTTTTCCTGCTCTCCTGCGTTAGGGTAAAAGCGAATACCAAACAATCCCATATACTTCTGCTGAGCCTAAGTGAAACCAGCATATCCCTTCAAAACTGGCATCGCCTTGTTGGAAGCCTAAATAAATTTAAAAATCAATTTGCAAAGGGACCAGGTTCCCTTTTCCCCCTGCGCTACCTGACCCCAGCAGCCGTGCTGGCTCACCTGCTCGGGAAGGACACCACCGTTTTCTCTCCCTGCCGCAGCGTACCCTCTGCTTTCCTTCTACAGATAATGGCTCAAGTGATTTGTCGTCGGTGGACTGACTTCACACACACCCCCCAAAATAATTCTACAATAATCAAATGTTCTAACTTTTTAATGGACTCCTAATATATAACTTTCAAAATACATTTTTCCAGCCTATTTTCAAAAATGAAACCCTGAGCCCCCCTTTTTACGATCAATGGTGCTGCAGCAATTTGTAGCTGAGGAGATACTTGGAAGGGGAGATAATTTCTACCTGCTCCCTCCCCTCACTTTGAATGAAGGTGAAATATGTTTCAAGTCTGCAAAAATGCCCTAAAATTAGAAAACTGATTCTAAAATATTGTCATGTGGTCCTCCGTAGCAGGGTTCTCAAACTTACACATTATTAACACTATTTGTCCATGTGATTTTCAAACGGAAATATTTCCAGAGAATACGGTCTTTTATTAAAGAAATCTAACCAAAGCATTAAGGTTTTTTTACTGGGATGATAAACGTGAATTTTAACAGAACAGTCTGATATCTTTAAACGGAGGAAAAAGTGATGCACAAATCTTCTGGGCTCTTCCAAAATATTCTAGTTCAGGAGTCCTTGTTTAATTTTTGTTGCGCTTCACTCATATTTTAATCATGTCATTAAATACAGTGAGTTTGGTAATAAAAAATATTTTCTAGATGGTAAGAGAGGAGTTCTTTCTTTGTTTGTACGAATGCTTTTGGGCAGAAGGTGGAAATGTTCCCTTTTGCCGGCAAATGAAGATAGTCATAGGAAGAAGAGCCCTGCTTATTAAAACCTACAGCCAGCAGCTCCTGCTAGTGTGATAAAATTCAGCTTAACCTGTTAATGGGTCTTACCGATGAGAGATTACGTCCTTTTCAGAAAGATTATCCATTTTAGTCTCGTAGGCTAAAAAAGAAGCATTACTTTTAACCGATTGTCACATCGAAATGCTCTCCGTGCAAATAACACGCAGCTCACCCAGCTCTGCCAGAGCAAGAGAGGAGTGAGTCTTCTGCACAGCCAGGCAGCAGTAAAGCCAAAGGTGGTACAGGCTTAACTGTGACAGTGACGGCAAATGCTGCAGAGGTTTCGAGTGACAGAGATATTTGCCAAAAAAAAAAAGTTGGTTTTTTTTTTCAAAAATAATCCGTGTTTGACCGGGAGTATTTCTCCTACGTTGGAATGTCTTGGGTTAGTTAATTTTTCAGACTAGCAGAGCTTACCTAGGTTGTCTGCTTATAATCTTCAGGTTCATTTTGCTTTGATTTAGTTTCTTACTTCCAGGTTTTTTTCCTTAGAAGACGGTCCCTCCACTAATACACCATCGCCTTCATGCAGAACACACACGGTTTTTGTTCTTGATAACCCCTTAACATTAACCATTTGTAGCAGGGGGCCACAAGTGCTCACCCCTATGCGAAAACGCTCCCCTCGCTGGGACAGACTTTGGGATTCTCTCCTGTACCACGGCTGTTATCATGGGGCCAAATTTTCTTTTCTTTTTGAGATTTTACAGCCTGGCTCTAACAAGCCTTTTTGCTTGGGGCTACAAGGGAGAACGTATGCAGTCTAGTCTTGGAGCTGAAATTTCCATGTGATCGGGGATTTTTGGGATCGCAGGAAACAAATAAATGATTAATTACAAAATACAGCTGGTGATTATTTTTTAGGACGTTTTAAGAAGTGCAGTGTTTTGGTATTTCTTAAACTCAGCACTGCGCTTTAAAATGCATATTGTGTATGAACATATGTGTGTGCACGTGAGGCAGTAGTTTAAAATTACTTGCTAATTTTTATTTAGGTGTGCATTGAAATCACAGCCTCAGTTATTCCTTAAAGATCTTTAGAAGACGTGTTTAGTGTTCCTACGTAGCAGCCAACATGACGTGGTCTTGTGCAACCTATTGCCTGTGATTCCTGCAGTTATCAGCGCTAATCTGAGCACCAACAAGGATTTTTTTATGCCACGTCCGGAACATGCCAGATAGGGATTTACACAGCACATCCCCAGCCATTACAACCCAGTGCATGAAACCCAGCTTTAAATTAGTAAAATATTTAGAGAGCAAGTTACATGTACATCATGACTTCCGAAAGGATTTAACTGGTAAAGCAATATGTTACTGCCTCAGTACTACAGGAGGTATATTAAAAGGCTTAACTGTCTCAAAACAGCTCTATGGCACGCTATATGCTGTATCTGGATGTAAATCTAGATAGGGATTTAAATATTTCTTTCACAACCTTCCCGAAATATGTTTTGGTTAAGTCTTATTTACAGCTATTAAGAAAATAAAAACTACCCTCGATGCTACATTTTAGGCTTTTGTCAAATTGTCTTCAATTTTAGCATTAAAGCTACTTTTTATAAACTTTTGGATGTGTTCCCAATATACATTTTACAATTTTAAAAATGTACTTTATCTATAAATAAAACCCCTTGAAACTGATAGAGGTTTATCGTACAAGATATGATTTATTTTCAACTGCATTTGCCACGTATTCGCACTTAGTGAGGATTCATGTCGAGATAATTTTGGAAATTCATACCGAGATAAAATATAGTTAAAATCTTAATGAAACATATCCTATCCTATAGGCTATAGCTACCAGGTCTTCATTTTCTGTAGCTTATTCTCTCTTTTTAATGTAGTTTGACTGGCACCGTCTATCCAGAATCTGATTTCTGTTCGTAGATGATTTTCAGGTTTATACATATGACAGCTTGAAAACACTATAAATACCAGTATTTCATTATTTTCACATGACTGAGTGACTTTTAAGAAAGATCTGTCTCTTAACAAGCTGAGACTAACTAGGCAATTCTTAGTTTTTGGAGAAACAGAGAGTCGTACATCTCTCTATAAATTATGAGGATGTAATTTAATGAACACATGAATGCTGGGCTCCCTGT